TAAATTGTTCTTCATTGTTACATTATAAACAAATATTATTTTCTTAACAAACCAAACATCCTTTACTACATGAATATTTACAATTATAGCATCCATCAAACTCAATTTAATTTCCATCATCACATTCTTCAAATCCTTATGTTAATAATCCATCACCACAAATATTTATGCATTTATTATTAACTAGATTGAATGTGTCATTACATATTATACATTATTATTGATTATCACAAAGCTTGCAATACTCATTGCATATAAAAATTTAACAATTTCTGCAATTTAAGTTTTAAGGATCATCACATTATTCTTCAGAGATAATTGCTACTTAACCATCACCACAAATCTAATTACATTTCCCTTATATTAAATTCCATCCAGATATACATTATACACATTTAGTATTTTAACACACAAGACACTCAATTTGACAACTATTTTAGCATTTATAGCATCCATCAAATTGAATATTATTATCGTCCTCACATATCTTATCAGATTTGATTAATTAATCTCTACATTTAGGATAACATCTATTTTCTTATATTGAAAATCCTTCAATGCATTAAATACATTACCCATATAAACATTATAAACAATTGATTGGACATTAAAATTTACAATTAAAACATATATGAGATTAATATGTCAATTTATCATCACATTCCTCATCCTGAGTTATTATACCATCACCACAAATTGGTATACATTAATTAAATACAAGAGGTAAATAATAACCAAGATTAGTAAGACAATATGTTTCAAATTTAAAAATATCTAATTGTTCTATAATTAGATTATTTTCTATTCTTAAATCATTAATATAACAAAAATTATTCAACAATATATATCCTTGATTACATGATATACATTAACCTGCTTTGCATAAATTACAATCATTATTACAATAATATTTACATTATTGACAACCTACATTGATATTTTGATTTACAATATCGCAATCTTCATCTTCAGCTTTGATTCCATCTCCACAAATAGATGTACACATTTTGGTGACAAGATTATAATAAAATCCTAATTAACATTATAAACATAATTCTTAATGATAATCTAAACAATATTAAGAATTTTAGAATTAACAACTTAAACAATTTTAATCATTGATCTCACATTATTCATTATCAGTAAGTATTCCATCTCCACAATTAGAAATACATTTTAATTAATCATCAAAATAATATCCTTTTTTACATTCAATACAACCATCATATGAACATTAAATACAATTTTCAAAACATTAACTACAATATTGTTTAGGTGATTAAATCATTTAATATTAACATTACTTTAAATGTTAAAGATTTGGTTTGCATTTTTATTCTATTTTATCATAATAAGCATAAATATTGCATTATTAACAATAATTATTAACATTAATTAAACAATGTTCTAATTAGTAATCAAAAAGTAAAGTAATTTGAATACATTATCTAGAATCTATTGAAAGCATGTAATTTTCATTACAAATATAACAAATTTAAAAAAAACAAGATTAACAATTTATATCACAAGCAAAATTATAATTATATTGTTCACTTAATTGATATAATTCTCCTATTAAATTGCATAATTATGAATTATTGTATATTTCATTTCCTAATAAAGGATTACATTAGATTATTGTTAATGGATGATTTAAATTAAAATTATAACATATACCATTAATGCAGTCTTAACATGAATCCTAACAGCTATATTAACAGAAATGGCATCCATCACCATAAATTAAATTACCATCATCACATTATTCATCATATGTAACTATCAAATCACCACAAATTGAATAACATAAATTATCAATAAGAGAATAACCTTCAACACATTCTAAACAACCTTAACCAGTTGTACTACAATTTAAACATGAGGATTAACATCTTGGTTTACAATTATAACACCCTTTGTATGGTAAAATAAAGCTAGATTCACATTATTCACTAACTAATTGAATAAAATCTCCACATTTTTCTTTACAAATATATTCAAAAGGATCTACATTCCATCTATAATCACATTCATAACATTTTCCAAGGACACAATTATTACATTCAGGTTTACATTCTATTAAAGTTATTGATCCTTAACTTATACATAATTTTGAATCTGAATTTAATGAATATCCATCAATACAATTACATTAACCATTACTTAATACCATATTAACACTGTCTGTGCATTCTATACATTATGAATAGCTTAGACATTAATTACATGAAGTTTGACAGTCATTACACCTATTGGATTCTTCATATTAACTTTTAGTGCAAAAACAACCTAAATTTGTTAATTTGAATGAGTCGATACATTCCAAACATTCAAATTTTGAGTTACATCTCTTACAAGATGAAGGGCAATCAAAACATAATGATTAATGAACATTAAAATATTAAGTAGTATTGCAATCAACTTAAGAAAATTGAATTTATGTTATATAATCTGTACTATTCCATTCTTAACAAGTTAAATGATCTGTGCATTTATTACAATAAGGTTGACAATAATGAACTGCTAAATAGAAATTGTATAATCCACAAAAAGCTTTTATTGGTTCATTATTTTCACCCTAGCATTCAATAGTAATATTGAGTGTATTTGTGTAATGATTTATTTTCGTTGAAATAACATCTACAAAAGTTCCATCATTCTATTATTTCGCATCATTTTTATTTTTAATAATCAGTATATTTTCATTAATAGAACATATAAATTTACTATCAGATGGAAATTCAGGACCATATAAAATGTAGAAAGCTATTGAAATACTATGATGTGGTCTATTTATTAAAAGGATTCTTTCAAATTATGCTTATGCCCATATATATGAACCACCAAAGATAGGATATCCATTCCAAAAAGAATAATGTATATTTTCTCCTTTCAAGAAATTTCTTTAAAATTATTTGATAAGTTTATATTAAGAATTGTACTCAAATGTATGATTTATATTTTCACTTATAATAAGTTCAGAATCTATGATATATTAAATTTTACATGGTGTTTCATCATCAAAATCTTTACAATAAGTTTAATTATTGGATTAATACACATTATCACATTTTAAGATACAAGTACCATCTCGATATAATAAGTATGGACTCTCACAAATCTTACATTTATATGATATATCGCAAACTAAACAATAATCAGTACAATAATCTGTAGTAATTTGTATACCTATTAATCCCCAACCAGCATATTAATTTCTAATTTATATTAAAATATACGTAAAATTTCCTATTGCTGTGAATAAAAATGGATATTAAGGAATGTCAAAATATCCATAAATTTCACATAAATAATTATTATTACTTAATAGATAAGATAGTTCTTATTTTATACAATTACTTTATGTAAAATTATGTAGTTTGATTCCTGAACTTGTATTAAATATAGAACCATAATAAGTTCGATTAAACTTAAAATGAATTCCGCATTCAAGAGGTAAATCATCAAAAAGAATTAATTTTATTTTAATCCCAATATAATAACCAATTTTTGGTATAATCTCATATATAAATCTAGATATTCCATTATTATATTTAAATATTCCATAAAAAAATTAATTAAACCATAATAGTTAAGGTTATTGTATATTAGAATATTGTTTAGTATCATATTTTATTGACCATAAGATCTATTCAGAAGAATTAGATAGATTGGTAGAATATTAGATATAAGCTAAAATAACTAAAGTATTTTACATGAACAAATTTTACAAAACCCATTTAAACATAAAGGTTCAATAAAATTACATTTTTGTAGACAACCCTTGTATTCAACATAGTAATAATCAGATGGACAAGGTGGACAAATTTATTCTAATTAACTACCATAAAAACAGGTCGAACATTGATTATATTCAGGACCTACACAAGTTGAACATCTTGGATAACAATTAAATTGATAATTAAGTATATAAAGGTTTTTTATTGATACCTAAGCATTTTCTACTAAATTTGTTGAAATTGTGAAATTTAAAAGGGAAGCTTGAGTTTGTGTTATATTTGTTTACAAAATTTCATATTTTTAATTATCACAAAACCCTGATTCTAATTAATATTCATAGGGTGATGTATAAGTATTAGAATAACTGTAATTATAGAGTTTAAATGTTAAAACATTGTTGTTAATCTAAGTACCATAATAATACAAATCAAAAGATATTAGACATTTATAACTACAATAATATTTGCATATTCCTTTTGGACATCCTTCATAATCACAATTTGAAACTGATTACTATTCTTAATTTAAAGTTATATAATTGCGAGTAGGAGATGTGCAATTGATATAATAAGCTTTTTAGATTGTCTAAGTGTTTATTAAATAATCTGTATATTTGCAGGCTTGACCTTTAGGTATAAGATTAAGCTACAAAGTATCATTGTATGCATATTTATGTTGAATAACCAATTAAGATTTGATTGTATACAACAAAATATTAAAGTGGAACAATATTTAAATCATAATTATTTTTTAGTATTTTAATCTGCATATATTGCTAAATATGTGCTACTTGTTTTATTTTAAAATAAATTAAGGAGAATTTTATAAACTATTGAAATTTAAATTTCATATCATCCTTTATATAATGCTTATAATTAATTGAAAGTAAATTAAACAAGGATGATAAAATATTAAAATTTAAATGATATTTATTGATCAAAATATAATAGATTTATAATATAAATGAAAAGTAAAAAGAACCTAAAAGCTTAACCAATTTATTAAGTATATTTTTTTCCAACAGTTATCTTTAAATATAAATAAAAATTTTATCAAACTTTTAAAGAAATAAAAATTTATAATTAAATAATTAGAAAAATCACTTAGTTTGAACATTAAATAATAAATTTAAGAATTTTTCATCTATTCAACACTTATATAATTACAACAAAAAAAAAATTTATTTATTAATATATAAAAAGTCATTAACGGTAAAAAATGATTTCAGAAATCTTAATAATATAAACATTGAATTGAACTATAATTGAATACATTTAAAATATCAATTAAGAGACATCATATTTCTTCTTCGGTAGATAACAATTAGATCTATAAACGATGCAATGCTTCAATTTTTTTTTCAATTAATTCAGCTTGTTCATTCCAATCTTTCCAAATTAAATTTATAAATTGTATAATATCATAAGTTAAAGCTCCAACAGTCATACCAATCCATATACCTTTTAGTTTCAAATTCAAAGGATAACATAAAAAGTATCCCACAACTTCACCTAAAACCAAATAACAAAATATAAATGTTATAGAGGCACTGGATTCTCTACCTACTGCTCTTACTAAACCAGAAATTATAGCTTATAATCCTAAAAATATTAAGTTTAATATATTACCATCTATAAAAATGAAGAATACTAAAATATACAATATATCTTATATTTCTTAAACAACAATTTCTTCATGACTTACTTTTTCTATTAATTACTTTCCAAAAATAGTGAAAGATCCCAAAGTAATTACTAAGAAAATTGTAACAATAAAAAAAGTTGCTTTGGCAAATTTTTTAGCCATTTGTATATTTTTTCTGCCCATTTCATTTCCAACAAATGTAGTAGATGCAATAGAAATACCATAACTAAACTAATAGATGAATGATGCAAAATTAGCCATCAAAACATGTGCACTAATAATAGATTCATCTTAATAACTAACAAGTATTAAATATATATCATAACTTATCCATTCCAACAATAAAATAGATCCAATAGGAATAGCTTCTTTAAGAAATTTTATTGTATTATGTAAATATACAATTTTAAATCGAAATAATGTAGTTTCACAACATTTTGTTATAAAAATGAATGAAAATAAAAGTATATTATTTATGATTTCAAAGCATGTCCAACCTAAAGAACATCCAATTAATCCCATTCCCTATTAAACAATAAAAAAATAACTAATCCCAAAAAAAAATATGCATGAGATTAGTTAAGTATAAAATTGATAATTATAAATATTTTAACCATTTAGAAATACCTTAGTATTTACAAAAATTGCATCTAAATATACTGCTGCAACCATATATTTATTAAATCTTCCTGCTTCTTATACTAATTATTCGTTACTAAAGTGAATCAAATTTTTACCTATTAATAAGTGACATTAATTGTGTTGAAAATACCAAAAATAATGATATTGGTATCATAAATAATGTGCATACAAATAAGGATCTATAATAGAGTTTTGCACACAATTCAAATTGATTTGCTCCATATGCTTGAGACACCAAAGTTTCCAAACCAGTTGCAATACCATTCTAAATTCCCATACCAACTGCCTAAGTAATTAATATACCCAATCCTAAAGCTCCTACTAATACTGAATCCTTCTCTTTAAATTCAATTAAGTATATCGAAATTGTATTTGGAAGATATCCCAAGATAAAACTCATTGCTGTTTATAAAGAAGGAAGAATTAATTCTCTTATTGCTTATTTATTATTTTGAGGTTCTTTGATTAAGACCAATTCACTCATTTTTTTAATTAAATATTTAAACTCATTTAATTTTTTAATTATCATAAAAAATGTTAATTATTAGGGACATGATATTATTAAATCAATCTAACTAACTCATATAAAATTATGATTTTATTTATTTTGTATATATATAATTAATTATATAATTCAAAACAAGACCATTATTTGTTAAATGAATACTTAATTAAATATTGAACATAATTATATATTATTTCTGTTCATAAACCCAAAAAATATTAACTTAATTCTGTCTTCTCAATATTGCTTAGAGGAATATTGAAAAGAATATAAGAATGAGATTGTATAATTAATATCCCAATATTATACTCAAAAATCAATATGAAGTTCTTTTTTAAGTTTAATTTTTATGTATGAATATTTTTATAAACAATAATATAACTAAATGTATTTTTATTTAGAACCATCAATAATGCATTTAATTAAATACTTTATATTCGGATAGCTTTAGAGTATNAAACCCAACCCCAACCCCAAACCCTATTATGTAAATATACAATTTTAAATCGAAATAATGTAGTTTCACAACATTTTGTTATAAAAATGAATGAAAATAAAAGTATATTATTTATGATTTCAAAGCATGTCCAACCTAAAGAACATCCAATTAATCCCATTCCCTATTAAACAATAAAAAAATAACTAATCCCAAAAAAAAATATGCATGAGATTAGTTAAGTATAAAATTGATAATTATAAATATTTTAACCATTTAGAAATACCTTAGTATTTACAAAAATTGCATCTAAATATACTGCTGCAACCATATATTTATTAAATCTTCCTGCTTCTTATACTAATTATTCGTTACTAAAGTGAATCAAATTTTTACCTATTAATAAGTGACATTAATTGTGTTGAAAATACCAAAAATAATGATATTGGTATCATAAATAATGTGCATACAAATAAGGATCTATAATAGAGTTTTGCACACAATTCAAATTGATTTGCTCCATATGCTTGAGACACCAAAGTTTCCAAACCAGTTGCAATACCATTCTAAATTCCCATACCAACTGCCTAAGTAATTAATATACCCAATCCTAAAGCTCCTACTAATACTGAATCCTTCTCTTTAAATTCAATTAAGTATATCGAAATTGTATTTGGAAGATATCCCAAGATAAAACTCATTGCTGTTTATAAAGAAGGAAGAATTAATTCTCTTATTGCTTATTTATTATTTTGAGGTTCTTTGATTAAGACCAATTCACTCATTTTTTTAATTAAATATTTAAACTCATTTAATTTTTTAATTATCATAAAAAATGTTAATTATTAGGGACATGATATTATTAAATCAATCTAACTAACTCATATAAAATTATGATTTTATTTATTTTGTATATATATAATTAATTATATAATTCAAAACAAGACCATTATTTGTTAAATGAATACTTAATTAAATATTGAACATAATTATATATTATTTCTGTTCATAAACCCAAAAAATATTAACTTAATTCTGTCTTCTCAATATTGCTTAGAGGAATATTGAAAAGAATATAAGAATGAGATTGTATAATTAATATCCCAATATTATACTCAAAAATCAATATGAAGTTCTTTTTTAAGTTTAATTTTTATGTATGAATATTTTTATAAACAATAATATAACTAAATGTATTTTTATTTAGAACCATCAATAATGCATTTAATTAAATACTTTATATTCGGATAGCTTTAGAGTATTTAAAGCCTCAATTATAAAGAAAGCCTTAGATAAAGTTGACCTTCATAAAATAGAGTTAACGATAAGGACTAGAAATAAAAATTATGTATGCTGATACATTTATAACAGCAATAAATTACGGATAAGAAGATATTGCTTCAATAATGATTATAACAATAATAATGGAAATTTGTTAATAAGAGATTAAGGAAGTTAGTAAAAAGAGTAAAGCTTATTAAGATGAAATTAATATTTAGAGGTCTGTAAAGATGAATCACATTTTACAACATTATCATTTGATTTTATTGTTGTTATTACCTATGGAAATTTGAAATGGGTAAATCTAAAAAATAGAGCATTAATTGATGGGTCATGATAAAAATTGCTATTAAAAAATAAATGAAAAATCTAGAGTTGAACAATCAGAATAAGAAACTAATGAATTATTAAAGGAATTTTAAGATAACTCTAAAGATAGTTGAAAAGCCTGATGGATAAATTAGTATCAATAACATAGAAAAAGCTCAAATAATTAGTGAAAATGAGTAACAATATTTATCATTATTGATACAAATTAATTTTTTGTTATTAATTGATCAAAAACAATGTAAAATTTTAAGGATTATTTATACATTTCGATTTAATTTTCTTGTATACCATGAAATATAATCTTAATATTATTGATATTTAAATGAAAAATACATGCTCAGTAATTAAATAAGATCAAATATTAGATTGATGTAATACAAAATAAATATTGAATCAACCTAAAACTCCGAAACATCTCATCAGATAAATATAGAAGATTAGTAATTAGGTTAAAATTGTAGGGTAAGAAGCTACAAATGAGTCTTAGCAATTTGTTATTTTGCTGCAAAATAATAAAATTCTTATGAGGTAATTATATTAATATGTATTTATAATCTCTTAGAATTATCTTGAGTAATAAGTATTCAAACTCCTAAGCTTATGAGAAGTTGTTTTAATTGAATAATCCTCAAAATACTATCAAGAATAAAATATATTAAATTATCATAATAATATTCTTATTATTGAAAGTACTTCATCTTTAAATTATTTTACCATAAAAGACAGAAATTAGAAACAAAAAAAGGAATATCGCATAATTTATTCGGGTAAAATATAGAAAAAATCTAAAATTATTAGTAATATATGACAAAAGGAATATATCTTAAGTAGTAATTGATTAAGTTTCAATTAAATTGAATATTTACAATTTATCAACTATTAAACAGCATATATTTCTTGTAAGGATAATGACTATTTGATTTTAATTCAAATGAAGAGCTTATTCGCAAATTGACTTATAAAAAGCAAATAGTATCATTATTCTTCTAATTAATTCAACAAATTGCACAATCTAAAAAAATGAATTAAATTAAAAGAGAATTGATAAAATCCATTGTTTTAAACAATATAAATAGATATTAAGTGTATATCTACTAATGAATACCTTTATAAATAACAATATTTATTATTTGAATATTTAGAAAACAATGTTTTATGAATATATTTGATGTTGTATATATTTCATTCTCTCAAAAATAAAATATTTCACATAGCTGAATATTTGGCTTAGCTCCTCCAAACAAATATTCACTCTTATCTATTTCATTATTTTAGCTATCCCATATGAATTCCTGACCCAACATTGATTTTCCATCAATCAAATTAGCATGTATTTCCATATCATAATTCCCTACTATAAAACTATCTATTTAATTTTTGGCTTATTATTATTTTATAGGATTAAATTATAAACCGTTTTGCCTTTTTTATTTCATTTATTTGTTAGGATAAATTTCATTATGAGTATATGAAAAAATAAATTCTATTCCATTGGATACGAAATAACCAAAAATAGGGTTTCCCTTATTATTAGATTTAAATATCATTAATTTAGCATTAATTTCCCGATTCTAACGTTTTAGTTTGGAATCCTAATTCCAAAATTGTTATCCATTTACAATTTCTTAATTTTTTGGCTCAAATATATTGTAGGCTTTCAAATTAAGATTGGGATTATAACCCAAAATTTACTAAAAAGTATCTTATTGTAAAATGTATTCAAAATAATATTGTGGTAAAATCCTTGAACTATAATAAGGGAAATTGTTTTCAGAAAACTAAAACTTAGATTTTTCTATCTAAACAATGCCTAAACTGCTGATATTTTAAAACAGTGACTAATTCTGAATTAGGAGAGATTTTTGATTTGTATTATAAGGAGTTAATCTATATATAGATTTAAATGATTCAAGGAAGTATTATTTTAACTCTTATGCATTGTTATTGATTTAAGCTGATATTTCATCGATTTATTAGTTGCAATTTAAATTTAATCTAAAATATTTAAAGTATTTTACTTATATATTGATAATAAAGTTTCATCATATATCTTTTTAATCTTGCTACTTTATTCTTTCATCAAATCTTCATTCACTTGTTCTCTTATGTCATTCAATTTTTTTTCTATTTAATCCGAAATATCTTAATTTTCGTATAATTCATATTATTTAATTAATGAGTGAATTTCATTTATTTTGAATTACTAAAAAATTAAGAACTTCTCTATACTTAATACAGCAATTCTTTGGATTCTTTACATTTCTTTTTGAATTCTTCTAAACATGTTCTTCCATTCTAAATAAAATTCTTTAAATATTCGCATAAACTAATTAGTGATTTTTCCAATTATCCATAATATTTTTCTAATTTTTATTCTTAGAATTCATTCAAATTATTATATAGGGTTTTGTATTTTTCTTCAATTGGAATATGAGGTATTAGACTACTTGGGTCTTAAATAACCTATTTATATTTTATTAATTTACATCTGGTAAATATTGAATGTGTAGTTTATCTTTAATTTCATCTAAACATTTGATACATCCAAAATCTATATTCTATTGAAGAATCCTAACCCATTATGTAGAAAAATTTGGATGTTTTTTGCAAGGTGTGGCTTTATTCATTTAAATATATTTATTATAATCAAAAATATTTAATATGTAGATTTATAAATCCCCTAATTCTATATTATTAGTGTGCAAAATAATATAGAATGAAAAAGAAATTTACAAATTTTCAACCTTTTATTAATTTTGAGAAATTTTTTGTTTGATGGACGAATAAACATATTATCATGAAATAAATATATTATAAAACTTAAAAATTAATAAAATTTTATATTTTTTAAGAAATAGTAGTTATAGTTTAAGATTTATTCGTAAATGCAAATATACATTAATTTAAAAAGGAACACTAAAAATATCTATTAAAATGAAACTATTTCTATGTGATATATTTTATTCACTTAAAAGTGTTAATATCTAGGATGCAATTAGTTAGGCATTCACTAACATGTTACACTGCATTTGTTTTATAAGTTATTAGGATATTTTGATCATTTGATTAGGCATACCATAGAAAATATAAAATAATTGATATATTAGATTAGAATATCAATTAAATAAAACCAATAAGATTAATATATGAATAATAGAAGAAAACCAAGACATATTTCTTGTAATATGCCAAATAGTTATTAAATATATAAGTAGTTAAGTGGGATCAAAAACAATATTTTCAGAAGAGAATGTCATCATCTTGAGATAAAATAAACTTATTGGTTATGGTCAATTATTTATTGGTAATTGATTTTATTTATATTTAAAACTGATAAAATTCTTTAATTAATAAATAAATAAATAGAAATTAGAAATTTACCATAATATTTTTGTAGATGAATAGGTGAATTACTATGTAATTAAAGGATTTGAAGAAATATTTTAGGATTTTAATTCTCTGAACTTCAAAACATTGATCATCCATGCTATCATCTAATCCAAAATATACAATAAGTGATTATTTAATCTCATTATCAATCATATTAACCCAAAAAATTTAAGAATATATTAGGTCTAGGTAATTCGAATAATGTTCTTACAATAAATAGTTTCATCCCAAGATTCCATCAACTTCTTGTTTTTAGAAATAGTATAAAAATAAACTTTGCAGATAAATCACTAAATGTTAAATATTATGGTTAGAGTATAGTACATAGTACATAGTACAATAATTGTTAAGTTAAAATACTTTAACATTCAAATATAAAATGAGTTTGTATGGCATAACCTTAATATTTAAATTGGAGCCTTTTTCGGTTGATTTAAGGTAATACATTTAAAGATATTTACATAAGGCATTTATATAATATATAATATATTAGGAAAAAGAATTGAAGACCTTCTTATTATTTATAAAGAGTATATTCAAATTTACTAAAATATTAAAATGATCAATTTATTTTAAAGACTCAATTAACTTTTTTTATTTTAATTATTAAGTGATTGTGCTGATGCATGAAATTTTAAAATAGAAAATCTATCTTTTATATTTTTGATTTAGATTAATGCATAAAATAATATTAAATAAATAAATTCTTTAAGCAGTGATTAGTGGAAGGAATAATAAAATTGGAATTTTAGCTTCAAAGAAGAGTTATGAGAATATAATAACTGAATAGAACTATTTTTAAATTCATGCAATCATAATTGTGATAAAAAGGTAGATGAGAAGGGACCTTTTATTTTAACATATATCTAAAAATGAGTGAATAAATTAAAAGTAATCTTTTGACATATATTATAGAATTTTAATATCTATATCTATATTTGAATAATAAAATGTAAAGTGAAATATTAAATTATATATGTCAAAAATTTATGGTTTATTCATGCCCTATAAATAATTACATATTCAAAATATTACATAAAAACAAACTAATGATAAACATAAAATAATTTCCTTTGTAAGATTAAATTTATTGATAATAAAATTTAACAATTATATAAAATCCATATTTACGAATGCTAAAAAAATTGAATTATAATTATATAAATATGTAAATCACTCATTTAAAATTGCCATGTTAAAAAAAACTAGAGATTTATACTCTGTATTTAAATTTTCATATTATTAGCACAAACCCAATTATTAAGATTTATCATCTGGATATATAACTTCTTTTTCAGCTATTTCTTTAATATATTTTTCCAAATTTTGAAAAACTAAATAAATCCTAGAAGTATGATCAATTACATTATTATAATTCCATCTTCTAAATATCTTTCATCACAAGTTTTAAATTAAACCCGAATAAATTTAAATCTATCAAAATATTTGAAATTCAGAACAATATTATATTTTATTTTCCATCTTTTCCTTCTTATATCCTTAGAATATCTATAGTATTTAATATTTTATAATTAGATTCTTTTCTAATTAATCCTTATTATTATTGAAAAAAATAGTTCTAAATTTAAATTTCTCCAAAATTAAATCTTGAAGTTCTCCAAATAATCTTTAATATTTTTTATCTTTCTTACCTCTTACTAAAAGATAAAATCTAAGATATTTATTGATAATATCCTGTTATATTCTGCCATATTCACTAAAAATTCTTGATGTAGTTTGAGATTTTCTTGACTAAAATTACTTAAAAATTAGACTATTATAACTTAATTTAAATTTTAGATTTTTAAACTAAAGCCAAATCACAAGCAAAATCATAAATAGATATTTATCCAAATTCAATCTTTATTTTTTTATATATCCTTATTATAATCTTTTAAGATCTACAATCATTTAATTAAAGTATATGTAAGAAAAAAGGAGGCAATAAAAACCTTAATGAACTTTTGAGACTATTTTTCATTAGTTTTTATAATCATAACAATCTATATCTATCAATACAATTATAAGCATTTGAGAAGTCAAAAAAATCTCAGATTTGGACTACCTTTCTAACATTGCTTTTGTTTGAGTTTTTTAATTGTTTAACAGCAAACCATATTATTAAAAAATTCATTCTACTCAGG